CTGTCACGGAGTCATCTCTGAAAGTCATTTGCATATTTATATTGCTCCTGAGATGATGTTACTCTGTCAAGAAACACTTCCTGCCACTTCTGCTTTATTCATAGCTGGAATCTATCTTAGTGCTCTTTGCTTACTTTCATGTTTAATTTGAAACTGAAATATAAAGAGGGTCGTTTTTTTATCCCTAAAAGAACAGAACCCTTTAAGAGAGTCAAAGAACAGCTTGAGAGTTTTTTTTCAGAAGGACTTCTTTGAGTTGTTTCATTCTTCAATGTTCTCCTGACAATCACTGGAAATTTGGGGGATCATTGTAAAAGAATGCCTTGGTCTTTTTTTAAGATAATAGCTGTTACTGGCAGCTTGTCTTTTGCAACAGATCTTGGTGGTGTGTGAAGAAAAATGTTCATCACACACCACCAAGAGTTCTTAGTTTTTGAAGAACTGGGGTATGGCAGCATTGATGTCTTCTTGCTCTCCAGCCGTGTGTACTGGTTTCTTTCCTGGTGCAAATGCAGCTATTTCAGCCCCTGCTTATGAGTTGGATGGGGAGTAGAGACCTGAGCTATTTAGTTAAAACTAACACACCACAAAACCATTGTCAGCTGAATTCCTTGAAAATGTGTCATGGCACATAATGGAGACTGTGCTGGCAGGGAGACAGAGGAAGGATCATCTGGGACAGAAGTGAATCTTGAAAACAAGGAGAGTGCCTTTTTTGGGATGCTTCTGAGCTAACCTGAGCTAAAATAAATTGTGAAACCATGCTGTGAAGTTTTAGATGCATTTCCCTTGTACCTTGAACCCTCTTCTTTTAAAATGTGATGGTTGTATTCTCGAAACTGAATAGCTGAAGTATCTTAAAGCATCAKTTTGAATTAGCCTGCTCTCTACACAGAAAGGTTTTGCAACAAAGATACAGTACAATTCTTTYAGTGTATACTTGGAGAGTATGGGGAAAATACCAAACATCAGTGGTGTGAAGAAGATAGCAAAAGAGTGGAATTGTSTTTTTCTAACAGTATTTTTGGCTGAGGGTGTTTCTGTTAACCAAACTTGCATTTTAATTGGCTTGTAAAGTGTTTTGTGAGGAATTTGGGGAAATGCTATTTCTTGCAAAAATTTTCCAAGGAGGAATACCACTTTTGTCTAGTTTTGACTCTCATGYCCATTCACAAACCAGGATTATATGCCTTCACTACAAATGTAGTGTAGTAACCAGAAAATCCCTTTTCTGAACTTACGATATGCTTACTCTCATCTTTCTGGTAACTCAAATTTTCATTATTTCAGCCCATATGCTCTTCTTTCCTACAGTGCTCTGGGAATTGAGAGATCTAGAAAATCAAATTAACTTCAAGGTCAAAAAATCCATGATCTCAGCTGAAGGGCTCTTTTCAGCTGGGGTTGTTGCAGCATTAGGTGGAAATTTTTGAAATCTCATTGTATCAATAACAGTGAACAGACTTTACCTGCAGGSTTTGTGAATTCAGGTGGACATATATTTGATACAGACTGTAGCAGTCACTGAAGGGCAGCTCTGGAATTTTTATGGCAAATCAGTAGCAGAGAAAAAAAAATCCACTAAACCCCACAAAACCCATAAAATGAAAAGGTAGCCCTTTTCTTTGTGGAGTGTACAAGCAAATTCCCTAGCTGAGGGAAAGAATTTAGTAGAAAGAACTGTTATTCCCCCACCCCCCCCAAAAAAAAGTAGGCCAGCTGTGCATAAGTATTTCGTAGAAGTTTCTTCATTTTTAATCTGAGTAATGTGAAGCATGACCCATGTCCTCTGATTTTTATTTTTTTAATTTTACATGCTTTTCAAAGCTCAGTAAAATGGAATATGTGTGTCTAAGTATGCCTTATGCCAAATTGGCATGAAGTGCTCATAAATTACACATTTGCAGATGACAGCTCTTGCAGGTAAAGTGGTTCATCGGATACAGTGCCAAAGTGAGACGTGAGCAGCAATTGGATTTTCTGATTTCTGAAGCATACAATTACTCCTGTATATAAAGGGAAGCTGTATGTGTGCCAATAATGTATTGTGTGCCAGTAATGTATTAAGAGATGGAACTTACTTACTGTCATAATTACACCAGGAAGGTCTGCATTTTACAGATGGTAATAAATTCATGCAGCATTGGCCCTAGCACACCACATCATCTTTAAGGTCTAGTATCTCAGGTGSAGAGTAGCTGAAGGAAACTGCTGCTAAGGTTCTGGTTAGTGTCTTCAGAATTATTTTTTTGCTGCCTTAACCATGAAGCAAAAGAGATCTGAATTTCTAGAGACTTTAAGATACAATTTTTAGTTTTTGTGACAGTTACCAGAAAGTAACAAACACGAGTTTTCAGAGAGGTTAAAAGTTCTCCTGGTCCATGCCTGCCACAAAGTAGTATCCCCTGTCCCTTTTTTGACTTCAGTTGAGGCAGACACAAACCAAGGGGAAGGAGAGGAGGAGAATAAGACTTTGTGCCTCCTCCTGTTGCTTCCTGCTTGAGCACTGGCGCTTCCCAGCACTGTGTGATGCCTTCTCCTCTCCACTTATGTTAGAAGCTGTTATGTTAGAAGCACAGAGCCTGAGAGAAGCTGTGCTCTTCTGCAGTCTCTGAGGTGTGCATTGTTCAGCCATGGAAATATATTACATGTCAGCTTGCAGACTGGCATCCGACCAGGACTGCCTGTTAGTCCTGGAATAATTTTTCTGTTGTTCTACTAGTTCTGTCTTTGGTTACCATAATACACACTCTTCTTTTGTAGTCTCTCTGGGAAAATCTAAAATGACAACTTGTAGGTGGGTGTTTTAATTTCAAGTGAAGTTGATACTTCAGATACGTTTCTCATGCTAGAGGACTGTTTCACCTCTTATATACTGAAATGTAATTTTGGAGCATACATATAGAAATTGTTAAGACCTTGTTAGTTTTACTACAGTACAGAAAACACCTCTGGAAAAAAATTAGGAAATACCCAAGAACAATTATATAATATTTTTGGCAACAGATTCATTTGTGGCACTGTTGCTGTTTGATAAGAAAAATATTTACTTGAAGATTACTGTGCAGGTTCCTCTTAGGAAGATATTATGCTCGTATGATACTCTTAGAAAGAATAGACATGAGTTAAATGTCACAGAAAATGTAGAAAATTAAGACTTTTGAGTAGCTGAAGTATGAAAATACTTTGAATTTTTAATACAAACTCAGATTTAGCATTGTTACTATGGCCCTGGGTTTGGGGATTTTTCTCTCCTCCTTGCCAATTCTTTTTTATGTCTGGTCCTTATTTTCTTATAAGGAGAATATAAGTATGTCATTCTTCAAAATCTGTAGATGTTACATATTTTGGTCTGACTTTCTATTGTAATATTACAGAAATTTACTATGCTGAGAAGTATTGAGGCTTTTTTTTTCCTGAGGCCACCACATATTTGTAAATATTCCCTCCCTTTCTTTATGCACCATGTAATTCTTTCCTGTTAGAGTTCTTACCTCAAATCATTCTTTAACACTTGCTTTTTTTTTCTGTATTTTCCTTTTCACTCCTTTGGGGGAGGGGGGCAGAAAATGGCTGACAACAGTTGCTCTTAGTTAGACTCTTGAAAGAATTTTGTATTTTGAACAGTTAGTGTTGATRTGTGAGGTTTATTATGCACTGATAACTTCCAGTGAGTGATCTTTAAATAAGAGAATTTTGATTSTGAAGTCATTTAGGAGTCTAAAAGTGAGATCTTAGGTATGAAATAAAGGCAAAAATATTCACACTGCCTACAGAAATAATAATGGGGGTTGTGGCCAAAGAAACAAAAATTGAGAGTCTTGGAATTCTTGCTGGTAGTTCAGAAAATATTCTACCTAGTCGTCTGGTATCACAGAAGGTTTCTTTCCTTAAAGGCGTTATGGATTCAGTGGAGGAAGTAAACTGTGCTCTTATAGACTTTAGATCCAGAAAGGGCTGTTGTTCTTTTCTGATTGTGTTCCCCTTTAAAGTGCAATGAAAATCTTCCCACTCATTCTCTGGCTCAAACATTTCTGTTGTATGTCTTCCTGTCCTCTTTGCCCTCCTGCCAGAGTTCCCAATACTGCAAAGACACAATCAGCATGAGYTATAAATGGGAATTTAGCATCAGGAAACTTCACATGTGTCTTTGCTAAGAATCATGTATGTTCCACCTTTTCTRCAATGATGTAAACTGTTAGGACTGTTCTGAGTTGAGGAGCTATGGGGTACTTGAATTCAAGCTAAAACAGTTATTTGAGAAGTGAAGTTTCCCAAAATAAGGGTGAAAAACTGACATAATACAATAACAAGATTTAGSAGTTTGAGATTATGGTTTTTGTGACTGTAGACCTAAGGCAGGGGTTTCCAGTTCAGTCATGGATTACTCCACGTGTGTACATACACCCTAGTGCTGTAAAAATGTCACAGCACTYAGCTGCCTGTTTGCTGTCTCATGAAGCTGTGTGGTCATGCTGAAGAGAGGAGAACTTTGGATGTAGATTCAACAGGATTGAATTAGATTACCAGATTTACTATTTGGATTTTACGTAATGTAATAACCTAGTAAGCAAGCTAAAAGCTAGGGGAAGCCAATGGAAAAGGCCAGGTACAGAAATGTGGCAGATAAAGAAAATGAATGAACACATAGAAGTGGAAAGAAAAAGTACTTTGTATGTAGAATGGTGCTGCTTCTCATAGAAAAAAAAAGGTTATTTTTGATAGAGGATGTGATCTGATACTTGAGCAGTTTCTTTCAAGGAATTTATCCCTGGAACCCATTGTTTTTTATGTCTAAATTCCTTGAATGACAGATGTAGTGGATATTTATTCTTCTCAGAGGGAACAGATGCATAAAATGTTCAGTGCTACATTTTGAGACGCGTTATTTGTTGCACTGATGACTGTTCAGTTTTTCAAAGCAGCTTGTGTGTATATCTTCACAGTTCCCGGAAATCTCTTTCTGATAAAAATTAACAGAGTTTCTTTGATCATTTTAGAGGTGTATTTGATGCTTCCCTCAAAATGGCTGGGTTCTATGGACTCTACACTTGGCTGACTCACACTATATTTGGGATTAAYATAGTCTTCATACCATCTGGTAAGAATTTGAATGATTATATTTATAAATAATATTGCATAATTATTTATAGTACAAAATCWGAAGTATTAAATGTACTGGCAAGCTTAGTCTGGTCTTAGAGAATATGGCTGTGGGTAGGGTGGAGAGAAGGCCCTGATTGCTGTCTTAGCTCTGAGCCTTGCCTTTTTCTGTTTTCACAACACATTCCCTGCCAGCAATTTTACTTCCTCTGTTTTGTTTGCTGGATGTAAATCCTTCTCCCTTGTATTCAATCCAAATCTTTTCAGGTTTTGACTTCATTCTGTCCGTCCTGGCTTCTGTTTCTTTCACAGTTGAATGGTGCTGATTTTTCAAGATGCTTAAATGCAAGAAGATGTGATATCATGGAAATGCACAATAGAGTCATGCTTCTTGTTCTCAGTACTGCTTCCTGACTGTATTACCAGYCTCTGGTTTTCTTTTATTCTTTAATCTTAGTTTTGGAAATGGCTGGACAGTTTTTCAGTAAAAAACCTTCTCTTCCATTTTTATCCCTCTTCATCTAAAAGAATAGTAATAATAGTAATTGAAAAACATTTTTGTGCAAGGAAACATAAGGGGAAGGAAGCTATAAAGCAGCAAGCCCCAGTATAGTAAGGAATGGGTGTATGATAAAGTGCAACTACCTTAAGGGCATTGATTGTCCCTAGACTTACCTAGAAGGCTATTGGTCTTTTTTTTCTTTTTTTTTTTTTTCCAACTCCACACAAACTCTTAAAAGCTTTTGCTTTCTGGTTAATGAGACCAATGCAAATACCCCACTTAATTGTGTTTTGTATTACATTTATTCCTGGTGCATTAAATTATAGTGACAGCAGAACTGTATTGGTTTAGATTATAACAGGTCTTTGTATCATGAGAAGGTTGTGCACCTGTGTGCACACATTGCATACAGAGGTATGTAAGTTGCAAGTGTCATGTTTGCTGCTGTCTCACTTTTATGTAGTAAGTTAGAGTGAGACTTAGGCTCATGTGCTTTCCTATACAGTTGCTAATTTGAAATTATATAAAAGTTTGAAAGGTACATGATTGGTATAACTTCAAATTTTTCTAGACTGGTGCATCTTTTGAAGCAACTCCTTATGACTGTCAGTTGGTGAAGCTCTTCTGTAAGAAGAATGGTGTCATTTTCTTATTTCCTACACCACAGCTATAAAACACCTCATGATGCTTATTCAATGCTTCGTTTGCARCAATTGATGGAAGTGGAGTTGATGGAAGTGGGATTTACTGGTGTGGCAAAAGTGTCAGAATGTAGCTRTAAATATATTTGTGAAATATGTTTCTATGGTCTTTTTTCACTTCTGCTTCTGTGTGCTCTAGCATTAGCAGCAATCCTTGGAGCAGTGCCATTTCTGGGGACATATTGGGCAGCGGTCCCTGCAGTCCTGGATTTGTGGCTTGTGCAAGGACAGGGATGCAAAGCTGTTTTGCTCTTGGTTTTTCACCTCTTGCCAACCTATTTTGTAGATACAGCCATTTATTCAGATATATCAGGGTAAGTACGTTGAACACTTTTTAAAATTACCATTGTAAAAATGATTGACAATCACTGATGCCTTTAACTAAATTCATTTTTTGAGGGGTGCAAAGCAGTATTTTCAAGCACAGGAATAACATAGTAAGAAATCTTACTGGCCTAAGTGCCTTCATTTTCCCAGGACTCTTTTCTGTGAACTTTGACACATCAGAGGTCTTAAACTCAACATCAGCAAGATGAACTTTTACAGTTGGGACTGTTAGAATTAGTTAATGTTTTGTATTTATGTAGTTCTTGACTGAAGGTGTGTAGCATTTCCTTTATATCGCCCAATACCAGATGATGCTGCAAGCAAATAAAACCATGAGCTAGTTAGTTAGGGACCTAAAAAAAAAAAAAGTTTAATTTCTCAGAATTCATTTTGAGAATTTTGAGGATTATTTTGTTGTATCTCCATACTCCAGCGCAAACTCGAAATAGGCTTCTACTCAGACAATAGCCAGTGCCATTTTCCTACTGTGGGAGGTAGGCACATTTCTTGAAAAAACTGAGTAGGTGTTTGGCTGCCTCTTTTGACTTGAATTGTCTCTTGATTTCAGCTTTGAGTTTGTACACAGAGAAACTAACTGCAAATGGTGGAGACAAAGTCAATGTTTGCGGTTGTGTGTGGGATGCAAATGAAATGTTCACTGACATTTTGTGCCACTGAAATAYCTCTTGAATCCCTTCATGCAGCTGGGACTGGAAGACAGAGCAGCACAATTAAACAGAGCTGGCAAAGACATGAACAGTCAAGTTTCATATGTATGAGACCTGATCACAGCCGTGTATAATATTGGTATCAGGGTRTACTTCTCTAGTTACTGTTTCAGTCCTGGTCATCAGAAACAATCCTAGTAAACTGAATCAAGGACTTCATGGTCCAGACTTAGTTACATGCTGATTTATGCTGATTTTTATTACAGGAGAGTTAATGTAGAATGAGGACATAAAGTGTTTTTCAGTTCTGTGTTGTTAGAAATTWATATTTTTGTTCACTAAATATAATTAGACTGAACAGAGAGTACCCAATGATAATATGCCTAATATTGATGCTAATTTTCGTAGACTGTGGCTCTAGTTATTTTGCATTAATTAAAGCTAACARGTGAAGTATGATCAAATTACATTTTTTTCCAACAATAAATCAGATAAATTTAAGGCTAGTAGCTATTTAAATAACCAATAATTCTTCTGATTACTAGAATACTTTYTTTTCTTGGCCTGTAGAGGATGCAGACTCTGTTTACTGTCCAGAAAATATATGAAGAAGGAATAGATTTTCTGACAGTAAAGGAAAATTGTATTCCTCCCAATAAATTGAACAGTAAGCATCATGCTGTCTTGCAGATTAGATAAAACCTATTTGAAATAGCTATAATTAGGTTATGCAGGGTTTTCTAAATGGATTACCTTTGTACTGTAGTCCTATTTCATCAAGTGATCTGCTGTTTAATTTAAAAAAAACTAGCCAAAAGAAACTGATACAAATGCTGGGAAAAAAATTGAAGTTTTTAAAGATTTGTTATTGGAGAAACATAAAATTTTAAGGTCAAGTTAGTCCCCTCAGGAAAGCAATCTGGTCCTGCCAGTAGSTTAAGTTTGATCTAGGTGAGACATGATTAAGGTGTGTATGATTTAATAGGTCATGTTTYATGACCTCTCTTTGCACTCAGTTGAGATGAAGACAAAGATTTAAAATTTGGGAGTTGAGTGGAAATGAGGACCACAGTAGAAACCTCAGGAATTGCTGGAACTGTGAACTGACTGGTATTTTCTATGTATTACACTCAGAATTTAGAGGAACTTCCTGAGAGTTGTGTGCTAGGTTTCAGCTGTAGTTTTTTAATACAGTTCTGTAATGGTGTCATTATTTTAGGTATAAAGACTGAAGAATGATGAGCAGGTTTTGTGTAAATGCTGTTGGTAGGATTCACATGTTGCATGTAAACTGAGACACAGAAAATAAAAATGGTGTGGTTTATTGCTGCCAAAAAAGCTCTGCTGCCCCCAACTTTTCAGTAAATATTAATATGTTCTTTGAAGTACGGTTTTGTTTTTTTCATCTGAAAATATTAAAAGCCAGTAATAACAAGCAATCTGAGAGGCTTTTTTATAACAGAATGAGAAGACACGGATATTTCTTTAAAGACTGTATGGTAGCTGTTCTTTGAAAGATGCTGTCAGCATGTAACTGAGTCTTTAAGGATCAGGGGTGCTCATAGTATGTTGCTGATTGTGTTAAAATTTAACAGTTCTTGACCATAAAACATGAACAGTCTGTGTCACAAACCATATTTCCATTCTCAAAATGGAAATGTTTTTGCTATTAAGTCCTTCAGACATTCTTCAGCAGATGTCTATAAAGTAACTGCCCCATTGTGGATATTAGCAGTGTTCCATGCTGCAGTGGTGTTTGATCTGTTGTGCAAACAGAGAGCAGAATACACTTGGAACATTTGTGCAGTTCAGACAGCACAGCAGTTTGTAGTGTAAATATGGGTAGCCACAGCTAGCTGTGTCATTTCCTAAGCTCAGTAAAATTTCATTATTAATTCACATTTCATAATTGATAATGTTCTGCTTGTTGTTCTTAATTTAATCTCGTTGTTCTTGTGGCAGAGGTGGTCACCCTTACCTGACAGGCCTTGCAGTAGCTGGCGGAGCCTATTACCTGGGGCTGGAAGGGGCCATCATAGGACCAATTCTGCTTTGTATACTTGTGGTGGCTTCCAACATATATAGTGCCATGTTGGTGAGTCCAACAAACTCTGTGCCCACTCCATCACAAGCAACGTGGCCGCTACAGATTTACCGGTGAGCTGTAAATGTCTTACTTGTATGAATTCTGTTTTCACACACGTCAGTGTATGTATGTATGGGTGTAGAGAAGGTGTGCCTGGGCTTTATGTTAGAGCGTGCACTCACATCTGCATGAGTGTTTGTAGTATTGAAGAGGATTCAGCTGTCCCATATTGTAGAAATAAAAAGTATGGTTAAGTAGAACATTCACTGGAACATGTACACTGGAAGTGTTTGTTTCATGTCTCTCAGCCTCTTAAAGAAGGCTCATTTAGAAAATTCACTGATAATACCTTTGTGTCCTATAATTTATATTTTGCTGTTGTGCTAGGAGATGATGTTTGAAGCTGTTATTCATGGATATCTAATAAGAGTTCATTGCCCTTAATAAGGGGCCTGCCCAAAAATACTTCATTTTTGTGTCCTAATATACAATACTGCAAAATATGAACATACCTAGATTTAAAAATTATGATAACGTTGTATGCCATTATTCCATCAAAAGTATGGTCCTTAGTAATGTCATTATTGAAGTTACAAAATGTGTAAAATAGAAATATATCTTTAAACTGTACAGTTAGGAATGGGATAATTATAGTAGTACAATTAGGAATAAACTCCTAATTGAATAAATACTTAAAACTGTAAATCACATTGCGACAATAYTAAYGACAGTAGCTATTTTAATGATTCTACTCTCTTGTTAAATTATATAGCATAGCTCGTTAAACATGTATCTTAAAGAGGGTTMTTTGCTTGTCAGAAATCATCCTTTGCTTTATTCACATGAATAGTGTCSTCTACTTTTATCTCAGTAATTTAGGAGAAAAACCACTAATTAGACCTGTCTGTAGTCACTGGCTTGTAAAAGTTACGTTCCAGTTGTCCTATATGACATAGAGCTTTCCACAGAACACAAAAAAATCCTCATGTGTGTTGGTTTCTCCTTTATTTTATAGAAAACAATTATTTGAAATCACTGGGCAGATTTATGTCTTACTTTTCACTGTTCTTTTCCTCCCCCCATCCCCCAGGTCACCTAGAGAGAGTCCTGAGGAGATAAAAATGTCTGCRGAGTGAGGGAGGTGCTGTGCTGCGCCTCTACAACGTGAGGGAATCGCTGTCTTCTGTCTTGGGTTCACAACAGCCATGGCCTTCTGTCCCTTCCCAGCTGTGCCTGGGGGCAGCTCACAGGGAAGCATTGCTTGGGTTTTAGGAGCAAGCACTGGAACATCTGCTGGCCTTACATTATTGTGCACTTTGCCTCTTCGAGAGGGAATATCTACTTYCCATGGCTTTGCATACCAACACGCAGTCGGCTGCCTTGTTGAAGACTTTGAAGACCTTCTGTCTTATCAAAAGAATAGTTAAGAGGACAGGTACATCCACTGGAGTCATTATCTTACCTGCTAAAATTACTAACTCGGCTTTTATTTATTAGTTTTTTGTCCTATTAAATTGTAGTAGCTTTAAAGAAAGCTGTAATTCCAAAATATTTATTTTTTGTTAATCTGGTGGCAAAAGAAGTACAAACCACTCATTGTGAAGTGRAAGTATAATATAATAGTTTGCTGCTCCTCAAGGTATTTCTTTATAAGCTTCAGCCATCATCTGTAACTCATAATTACACTTTAATATTGTTCTCATACATGCACTGAAATTAAATGTTGTTGGAGACTGGTATTTTTAATACCTTCCTGAAATTAATAGAAATACAAACTGTTAAATGTGGTTTTTCCTCTTACTGACATAGGAGGACTTGTTTAAATAATTTAAAGCTTGCTGCAAATTCTGAGAATAATTTGTAGTTTACCTACCCTCCCAGTGGAGTCATCTGGTCAACTAATTTAATCAAAGGCCTTCAGTGTTTTCAGACAGTTGTAATGTGGGATGGTCACATCTCCTTCCAGTAACTGGAAGAAGTTTAATGGGGATTGTTTAATGYTGGTTTTCAAATGCTGTGTCTGAGYTCAAGTAACTTTTTTAACAARTTTTGTTAGYGGATAGAAAGGGGAGAGAGCCTGGATTTTGSTTTAGTTCAGCTTGTGGCTTTTTAACCTTATAAGCCTCTGGCCAAATAGCTTACTRAGATATATCTTAATATATTAAGGTATATCCTATTAATAAACAAGGATCTTAAATTTCTGAAATTATATATTGCCTAGGTCACAGCATCAAAAMCTCTAGTGTTTTTCTTCCATAGGTAATTTTGCTTAAATTTCAGTTTTGGTGACATTTAAGGCCTTTTGTATTGATTGTCAAAACATTTTGACACAATGGATCTATACAAATGGATCCTTTTTGTAAATGGTAAGTGGAGTTTTTTGGTAAATATTTCCTACTTGCACAGGTTTTCCACAAATCCAGTGAGGCCCTGGGTACAAAGTAGCAGATGTATTCTCTTAACCAAAGAACCACCCTTCAGTTTCCAGTAACTTGAATTGATTTTAGAGTTTGGTAGATAATGAGCTGTACAAAATGCAGGCATGCCTTGTATTTATTGTTGATAGTAATGCAATGTTTGAAACAAAGGGATGTTCTCCAGGGATAAGGATATCTAAGATGTGYGCAAAATCAGTTTGCAGTACCTAAGATGTTTGTTTCACTTGAGTTGCAGGAGGGCTGATTTGGAAGGTTCTTCTTTTCATGACACTGTATGTATTTTTACATTGTTTCTAAAARTACATTGCCGTGGAAAGTGATTGGAAAGTTCTCTCTGATGCTGAGTAAGGAAGAAACTCCTGCTATAGATTTGCAATAAACAGGCTGCCTATTAAGACACAAATAATCTGCCTCTTGGATTCTCAAAATGAGCTGCTGCAGTTTTACTGATGGAATGTCATGTTTTAGGTCAGKGGGGTTGAGTATGCTGTTTGTGCAMATTTGTAGGGATGTGCTTGAGGGACAGACTTGGTCTTCATTTAGTGTGACTCAGGTTCATCAAAATATGGAAACATCCCATTTGATTTTTCAAAATCTGAGAGATCTACACATCACTTTCAACTAACTGAATAAGAATGTGTGGCTTGAATCAAGTATCTGTTTTATCTCCTTGATTTGTGGCTCACAAAAAAATCTTAAGTGAAACACATTTGTATTACTGTTGCTGGCTAGGGTGGAGGATGTGGAAAAACCTGAGGCTGTCCTGAAATAYTCCTGCAACATTCTAACCAGCTTGMATGAAACMGCCATGATAATTAGGGAACTTCTTTATTGTATTACTTAATTTGTTCATGGTTTTGCACTGAATTGTTGTGTTCTTGTTGTAGCTTGTTGTAGACAGCATTTAAAGCACCTCTTTGCTCACAGGTCAAGGCGTTTCTTGTCCACATTTGCTATCCCATTTTCTTAGACAATCTTTCATGCTCCTGTGATACTCAACATAGTCATTTTAAAGAGTTGCTATAAAGCATTTTGTTTGGTTTTAAGTTTTCTTCTTCCCTTTCAACCAATTGCCTTACAACARAGAAGGGCCTCTGCTATGAAGACTAAAATAACAATTGAGACACAGTTAACTTCAGTAATGGCAAATGAGTAAAATTGCCTAAGATGCATTGCTCCTTTGAAATGCTCCTTTCCCAATGTGAAATTGTTTTATATAGAAAATTTGTATGTGATGGACTGTTGTTAGTTCTCCTTTGAAATGAGGCTTCATTTTGTTTCTGTTCCAAATCCAGCTCGGACTTGCAATGAAGAACCATTCATAGTACATCCTTACTCAGTAAATGTAGCTTCAGGAGCTCATGCTGTGTGCTGTACCTGATTGAGGAACCAGCTGTGTAGCTCAGTAATGGTGCAGTAACACTGTACTGCCAAAAAGAAAGGAAAAACAAGGAACAAAATGACCAATAGCATCTTCTTAGAATAGGAGCTATTCACTGATTTTCACCATATTTAGGAAAAAAAACAAAACAAAATACCGCCTTATGAAAGGGCATGCTTTGATTATTTGAATTTTGTGTTTAGTAAGTGTCTGATTACCAGCAGAAATAGAAGACCTTGTCATTGTGTGTTAAGCAATCTGTGTTATTTTCTGAACAGACTCAGCCTCTTCAAGAACAGTTCAGTTTAGATCAGTTTCACATTAATGTGAAAATAATCAAACTGGTCATTTTGACTTCTGGTCTTCGTAAAGTGCCAGTTCTTGGTTATATTGCCTCATCTGTGAAAACAACCAGCAGTTTGGTGGGATAAGTTTTTAGTACATAGACTGTAGCTTTCAAAAAAACCAACCCAACTCACCCCCACCTCCAAGACCCCACAAMAAACAGCCAAACAGCAAAAAAAGCCCTCCCCTTCTCTGCACTGCCGTTTGCTTAGGAGAGACCATCTTTTCTGTAATGCTTGTAGGCAAGAAGTTGATGGCATTCAGCTTGACTGTAAACAGTCATTCCAGGAGCTGGTACTTCCTAAGTGTGTTTAGTACATTTAGTGTTCAATAATTTAGAGTTCAGAAGGGAATGCTCATAGTAATGCARGACAATGTGGTCTCATTGTATAGTGAAATTCAGCTGTGCTGGTTTTTATCATTCTCTTCTGGGAAATCAGGCTTGTTGCAATTAAATATTGTGCCAAAGGGCTGGTGCTGTTTCTGGCACTCGAGTCTGAGTTAGCCTGTCCTTCCTGTTCCTTGGCTGAACACTGCTGTAGCAGAGCTGGCAGAGGTGACTGTGTGCCTGTTCACAGCCCAGCACATGAACTTCAGGTCACTCCAAATACAGGCTTAATTGGATCCATGAAGCAACAAACTGCAGTGGGCAAGAATCTGGCACTCCTTCATTTTACTAGCCTTTCTGCAATATGGTGGCTTTCAGGACAGATACATCATGACCAGTTGGGAGCAGAAATGACTTACTTTGAGAGGCTTTTAAAAAAACAGTTTAACATTATAATACATATGATGCACATTTTTCAGTCATTGATACCCATGTCTCTAACAATGGAGACAGCAGTCAGATCTTTCCATGCATGGTGCTGCATGTGTATGTGCAGCAGATTATCTGTGGTACAAATAGTCTAGTTTAATTTCAAGGGCTCTGGGGCTTCTCTTAAAGACACAAGGAAGGAGGATATAGTGGATGTGTGTTTTGTCAGTGATTATTGGAATAAAAAATCCATAATCTGTTTAATTAAAGAAAAAAGCATTGTTCAGGGAAAATTGGATGCTGTCTCCAGTATTATCCATTGTGGGTATCAGCACAACTTTTGAAATAGGTATATGGCTGCAGTGTTAAACATTGTTTTTCAGAAAGCCTRAAAAGGCAAAGCTGGATGAAATTGTTCTCTGGTAAAAGCAGCAGCTGAGTTGCTATGCTGCTGATCCCTAGTGCTGGGAATACTGCAGTTTTACCTTTACTCTGGACCTGATACACCAAGGATGGAAAAATACCATTATTCTGCTGAGATTCCATAGCTTTGCATCGTTGGTAGTGGACGTTTCCACAGCTGCCTTTATTCAAACATTWTGTTTATATTGACTTAAATCTGCCACTGCAGATAGTGCCACCTTAATGGATGCTACCTTTGGAAATGGCTGTGATTTCCTTTGAGGGTACTCAAAGGGGTTGAGATTGGAATTAGCCTTCATTATCTTTAATAGCAGAGGTAGCATTCTTCTAGAGATGCAGCTGCTTACCTTCAAGTTTGCACTTTTACACAAGAAAATTGATTTCCGAGATAATCTTTGTTGAGTGACAGCTGACATCTCTTAAATCCATGGATGCATCATCTTTATAAACTCTCTATTRACTTGTATTAAAAAAGGGTTTCTTCTTAGTGTTATTTCCTGTACTTTTTGCTGAAGCAAACTTTGACAATTTCCTTATTGTTTATGTTTCTACAAAACTAAAATCACTTAAAACTATTGACAAACCTTAGGGAGACTTGATCTTTAACCTGGTATTGTTCATCTGTCAGTTTTACTAAGGTACCTTAATGCTTTATGGTAAAATTCTCTAAAATTGCTTTTAAGTGATAAAGTTGGAAATGAGAAAAAAAAAACAATGTGGAAAATTAATTTGGTGTTTTGAAAYAAGAAACAATGCCACAAGTCATAAGCATATTCAGGGATTCTACATTGGGTTTGTAAATGTATATATTGATATGCAGTGTTATATAAATATTAGCAGTCTCTGTCCTATTCAGACTTTACTGAAATTTTGTCCTTTTTAAAAAAAATAGGATATCTGAGAAGAAAATAGTGCCTGTATATAAAGAAAACAAGCAACATTTTCTWCAATTCATGTTTACTTGTTACAGATTGAGGAAGAGCCAATCAAATACTGACAGTGTGACTACTACTGTTTTATTGTAGTTCRTATAAAGTAGGGAGAAGCTGCTAGTAATGCATTACTGAAAGATTTCTGTTCCTGGAAGTATTTGCACACATCCTCCTAAGAGCTGCCAAAATTAATAGGTCATGAAATACATCTTCAGTTCCTCAGTCTCTTAACCTTATCCACACCTCCTCTGGTGTCTTGTTTGAAATATGGTTTAGTACATGTGGGAATTGCTTCACCCCCTTCTGGGAATCGATTCCAGGACTTGAAGGCATGCTTTCAGTATCTATACTGAAATAGTGCATCCAATTCAGGAAGGATGTGCTAACTGGAAGTAATCCCTGATCTGCTCTGCATCTGGATGGACTTGGACAACTAGAATTCATGTTGCATTGAATTGGAAGTTCATTTGTTAATGTAAGTACTGTTTGGTGACGCCAAAGCCAGGTTTGAGTGAGAAGCAGGTCAAATTTGCTTGCAGCAGGGTGCATCTGCAAACTCATGAAGCAGAGTGAGTGCTCTAGCATCTATATATGTATCTATATATATATATATGTATGTATGTATGTATGAAAAAAAAAAAAAAATTAGAGTGATGGTTTTAAAGCARAAAGTTGGTTTCTTCTCCTGGCCTCACTTTTTACCCATTAGAGTGGCATGTACAGTAATCCTATGATGACCTAAAGTCAAAGAAACTTTTATGATATTGGTGTAGATTAAATGTCAGAGGCATCACAAAGATGAAAAGTAGAACTAGGCTAAGAACTGGCATCTAGGTAATAAGGTTGGAAAAACAAAATCCCAGTCTTCACTACTCTTTCTGCGAGTCTCAGCCTAAACCTTTTTCTGATATCAATAAAAATTACTTTTGTGTTGTTCATAACTTACTGTCTGTGTGGATCAGTGTTTTCAGTTTCTCAACTGTCATCATAAATATATTTGGCAAGCATTCAATGTGTTCAGATTGTTGCCTTTAAAAACAGATATTCTGTGTGTCAGTGATGATTGGAAACCAACTTTTTGTATCAGTATTTAGGTGACATACATATATATATGTATGCTAGCTAGTGTTTGATGTTTTGGTTGGAAGACCTGAGAAGGTTGGGGGATTTTTTCCCTTTTGGGAAATTTCACCAAATCAAATCCAAAGAAACTTTTGACATCTTATCCTGAGACTGGCTACACCCTACTCAAACCTAACAGCAGATGTTTTGCATTACAGAGCGCAGTTTGTTCTAAAGTGTGTGTTCCTACCAGGCCCCATGGGGATTTGGAGCAATAACTTCTACTGTCTGTTGACACAGGTTTTGTCTGTACATGTGATACATCTTCAGAATGGAACTGTATTCAAAACTGACGTTATCATAATTGGTTTGGTACAGTACCAGGTTTTGCATGTATAATATTGACAGTATAACCCCTATGTCCASTTGTGGTCCAATAAACTGTGTAAGTTAAGGTTGAGAAGTACTTGTGTAGACTGCAGAGGTGTTTAAATAATTTTGATTGTATGCACCAGTCCTCATCCTAATAAAAATGGGTTTTGTAGCAGGTTTAAGAAGCTTTTAACTTGATATTGTATTCACACTGCAGTCCTTTGTAAGCACAGAATGGTTAATATATTTTGAAATAAAATGCCATTAACATAAAGAGAACTGAGTTTGATTTGAATGATGGGCTCTTTGGAATCAGCCACAAAGGCAGCAGTTAATCTGGTGAAATTACTGGTGTGCTGGAAACAAAGCTGKGTCTGCAGTYCCTGTGTGTAAATGATGTCACTGAGAAAAGCCATCCTTCACTTCTCCTTACATTTTCCTTCCTTTCCTTCAATGGGGAAGGGAAGGACACGTGCCTCAAGCATAACTGTGGTTCAGCTGGCACCTGGCAATTTGCTGCACTGCCTGCAGTGCCACAGCCACATCCCCAGACCCTGCAAAAGCTCACATTCAGCAGCTGTAGGTAATTCAAATGACTTCCATTATGACCTACTCTCTGAGCTGGAAATGGTTGTTCAGTTTCTAAGCAGGGTTTTAGATCATTCTATTGACTATAAAGCAAAAGTGATCAAATCCTCCCTGCATGACTGCTCACCTTTTAAAATGAGATATGGCTGATGTTTCAGTTTTCATCCCTCTCACTGTTCTGTATTGAGGCATTTCCTACAGTAGAGTCAGTTTTATTTGATACCTCCTTAGTTCCCTGAAAGGATCAAAGAGTGGTTTGGGCCTATATGGTGGGGGGTTAGCAATTGRCACTAGTAACATAATTCTGATTTTTTTCTATTTTTTTTTTTTAATTCAGTGAAGTTTTCCGAGATGCTCAGAATTCCTTTTAAGTTAGAACCAACCCAAACACATCTGTAATCAGACAGCCCAAAGCACATGKACTTCTGTGAGAACTCCTTAGCACTTCAGTGGGGTTTTAGTCATTTTATTGTGCAGATAAGAGTGTTTTTATTAAAGAAAATAAGGAGTTCTGTTCAACATCCATCTCAGATAAAGCTTTATGATTATTCAGCACCAACCTGTTTGCTCAGTTTCAATTGTTAATCAAAAATTGTTCAGGAGTTACATGTCCAATACAGTTCATTAATATTTTGGAAGTGGGAGAGTAAAGAAAATGAAAGAATTATCAGGTAGATACTTAGGCAAAAAGTGTGCTTTTTGGCTTGATCAGAGATTCAATTTAAAATATTGCAGTCTTTTGGCTTTACCACTTAAAAAAAAAGAAAGCAGTTGGCATTTTGATAAAAAAATGCACCACAGACATTCAAATACATCTAGTTGACATAAATCCAAACACATGGTGAATGATAACAAAGAAAATTGAGAGTAATTCAGAAAAACATTGAGATGATATCTCATGCTGGGTTTAAAATTTCATGCTACTACTGAATTATAGAGTGTAATCATATAAAATGCAAGAAGAATTCAACTTCCATACTTCTAACTGAAGGATTCTTRTATCAGTTGGCATAGCTTTGTGTCAAACAATTAATAGCTTTCGTCTACATTACCAAACCAGAAATTACTCTGTGCAAGCTGCTTTTCACAAGGAAGTTCACATTTCACATTATTGCAAGTAGTTTTCATTTCRTATGAGGTAATCTTTGAAATTGGAGTATTAATGCTACCATTACCTGTGCTGTGATGGGCCCTGACAAATTCTGTGAAGATCTGCTTCCCTGAAGTCCTGAGCATTCACCAGTGCAAGCATTTCGGTCAAGTTGGCAGATGAAGGATTGTTTAAGGAAGAGGCAAATAAGGAACTCTAGATTCTATTCTATAATGGTTTCTCTACCATTCTTTGTGTTGTAATAATAGCTACAAGAATCCACCCATTCCTTCAGCATAACTTGCTTTTAAGCATGAGGATATTTGCAATACATGCAGGTGAAAGCGGGGCTCCAGGTATGTACCAACAGCTGCGTGGAGTGATTTTTGTGGGTTTTCTTTATTTTTTTCCCTTGTGCACCTGCAGCTGTGCACAGGCTTGTATTCTTGATTTGCAGATAGAATCAACTCCTTATGCCTTAGATAACCAGGATCTTTGCTTTGATTTTGCCTTTCTTACCCAAATCTGATATTTTTTTTATTAATAAAACCATCCCCAAGATATCTTGGGCAAATCACCTCCTTTTCTTTACTTTAGAAGATAAACAACCGAGAGAAGACCACTGTGATAAAAGAGAACCTTTGATGCTTTCATAATTTGTTGATAAGTGTCTTTCAGCTGAAGTTGTCTGACAAGTTTTAGGGTAAATCACMCATCATCTTGGCTGGCCTGAATTAAGCCCTTTTTTTTATGGGAGAGAAAAAGTTTAATTTAGAAGCTTTGCATGACTTTATGGAACACACCCTTTTTAAAGCACTGCTGATGCTGACTGCATGTTTGGATTGCTCAGAGAACTGRAGAGGAGTCAGGTTGAAAGCTTTTCACCTCTGTTTCTCAGTTTTCCAAAGAAAAAATTTCATTCTCAGGGCCATGGATGTAATTGGGTGTGTTTAGGAAAGATATGCTTTGGTAAATTTTGCCTTGTTTGAATTTACCATAGAATCATAGAATATATTGAATTGGAAGTGACCCATCAGAATCACCGAGTCCAACTCCTGGCCCTGTGCAGGACACCCCAAGAGTCACACCATGTGCCTGAGAGCATTGTCCAAACACTTCTGGAACTGTCAAGCTTGGTGCTGTGACCACTTCCCTGGGGAGCTGTTCCAGGGTCCAACCACCCTGGAACAGCTGGGTGAAGAACCTTTTCCTAATATCCAACCTAAACCTCCCCTGACACAATTTCAGGCCATTYCCTTGGGTCCTGTCACTGGTCACCGCAGAGCAGAGATCAGTGCCTGCCCCTCCTCTTCYCTTCATGAGGAAATTGTAACTGCAGTGATGTCTCCCCTCAGTCTTCTCTTCTTCAGGCTGAACAGAGCAAGTGATCTCAGCTGCTCCTCACTCGGCTTCCCCTCCAGACCCTTCACCAGTTCTGCAGTTTCTTGAGACATTCATCCTCATGCTGGTGAGTTAAAGTTGCTGCCCCTTGAAAGGGGGTTGAGGGTTAAAGTTGAGAGCGTTTGAGACGGAGATTTAGAAATTAATCAGTAACTAATGCTACAAACAGATGAATGATCWCCAGATTAAGAAGCAGCACTGTGGCAAAGAAGAATTTCCATAGAATTCTCTTTTGCCTCAGTTTTACCAATAGAAGTAACTGTCCTGTCACAGTTTAAGTGTTTCCTAAGGTGGTGCAGTCAATGAGTTGTAATGGTGAATATGTTTATAATTGCTGTTTAARGGAGTATATCCAGGTAGGTTTATCAAACGAGGTATTTTTTAAGAAAAGTTATACTCTCTTAAGCTTTAGAACTCAAATTAATGATGGCAAACTTTGGAAAAGGCAGTCCCACCAGCCAGATTGGCTGGGATTTCAACCAGTCGTTCCAGGGATTTTGGCACTGGACTCGTGATTTGGAGGTTTTATATGTGAATTGAACAGAAATTAGTGCTGAGTGTCAGGATGACACATCTCCAGTTAGTATCCACGTACAGGTTACAAGCCCATGGAAGTTCAAAACCAGAATAAAACAATTGAATAATATTTCTTGACAGTTAAAGGATAACTTCATTATTTCATGTTTGCTGGTTGAAAGGTGGCTGAAGGGGTTCTGTGACAATGGGGTTATCAGTCTTGGAGTAAGAACAATGTAWGGCTCTAAGAGGACTATGTGGTGTGGACTTTTGTTACATGATTTTGCTTAAATGTGATGCATTTCTGAAAAAACCCAAACCCCAAACAACCAGTCTGCACATTTCAGAAAGGGAACCTAGATCTGATTTTTATCAAAGCAAATGGTTGCTTGGATGCCTGTCAAAGAAAGGTCCTAAAAAGGTCATCTTTCCCTGAGACGTGATGGAACCTTTTCTTGGTCAAGACAGTTCAATTCTACTCATTTCAATTCAACCTGGTAAAAATCAAAGCATCCTGTTCAGATGTCAGGGAAAGCCTAAAACCAGATTATATCTCCTTCAGGAGGCAACAATGCCATCTTTAAGGGTT